ACATCTGTTAACCTCTCATTTTCATAAAGTTGCAACCTTAAACAATCCATTTAAGGCGTACCTTCAACTTTTATCGTATATATATAATTTTGATGTAGAATATAATTAAGATTATCTTAATATCTAATTTCAAATATAATTATAAAATTTTAAAATATTAAAATCAAGTAGATCTATAAACATATAAAAATCTTGAAAATGGATGGTCTAAATAATGTTTTGTGAGATGTACCATTTATGGGGCTCAAAATCCTTTTTTTTTTCATAGTCGTACACCTCGATGTCGAGATGAGTAATTAGAGGATTTTTCAACATTAAAACAATCTTTACCAATGGAGTTTTGAGGTGCATCCATAGTTCTACATTTTAAGGTTGCAACCTTATATAAACTTTTCCCTTTGTTTATTACCAAATTTAGTTTTTACAAATAAAATAGAGGGAATAAATAATAGTTAGATAACATAAAATATGTAAAATAATTGTGCAATATAAGTTAAAAATACATATACCTAAGTCGTATGTTCATTTATTTTAGAAATGATTGAAATTAAAGAAAGATAACTAAACATGAAAAATAAAATAAAAATTATATAACTAGAAATGACTAAAAATTAAAAGCTAAAAAATAATATAAAGAGAATAACTAAAACTTAGAAGTTAAAAGGTAATATATTTATATTTTACTTAGATTAAATATTTTGAAAATAATTTTCATCTAATTTTTAAAGGAGGCATCATGCACCAGACATATCATTAGCTATTAAAGAATAATTAGGCAGGGAGCCGGACCTACAATGCAGCTTAAGCACCAACTTAGTTGCTACTTAGCCTTCATTTGCAACCGGAAACAAGAAAAGCACGTGTACCGTGGGCTATAGCTGTTTAAGTTTTTGGCAAATTTGAAAAAGGCAACAAATAACAATATAAGTTGGGAATATAAGTAAAACTCATGGGCAAGCTTTCTATACTTCCTTTACAACATAAAATTTATGCACTTCCCCTTATCCAACCATCTATTCTGAATGAAAGGTTAAGATTGCCTCAATCACAATATCACGTCTCTATATTATTTTATTTTTAATTTTTTTCTACAAACTATTTTAACACCAAATTTTGTACCTCCAATCCTCTAGTAAACTCGCACTAGCAAAAAATATAAAAAACATATTTTCAATAAAATAAAATGACCAAAATACCTCTGAAAGTTTAAAAGGTATTTTGATCATTATAATTTATCGAAAAAATATTTTTAATATTTTTCATAGGTGCGCCCCAATGAGAAGATGGCATTTACCAAATTTCATACTCATACAATTTTTATAAATAAAAAAAACTAAAAATAAAATACTTTGAGATATCGAATCTAAGATCAAACGATGAGTGGCTCTATTGATCAAAATTGGACGGTTGAATGATAGGGGAAGCATAGATCTTCTATGATGTAAGAGAAGTATAAAAACTTTTCCCAAAACTTTTACTTATTGGAAAAACTTTATATAAGATTGCAACTTTACTTTTTCTTAAAGAGATAGAGTTACAGTATTGTAAAACTTCCATTTTATTATCACTATAGATATAATATTAGGGATTGTATGCAATGAGACCATTTCTCTTTATTGCAATGAGGTCACAATCATCTAATCGCGAGAATTTAGGCATGTCATCAATATGTGATAAAATAAGAGAGAGTAGAGTACAAAGTCCAAATTAGTTCAAGTGGAAGGATTGGAAAGGCTACGGGATAGACCCAAAATGACGTGGTTGGCTGTAGTCCGAAAAGATATGGGAAGTTATAGCCTCACTGAGGATATGGTCATTAATAGAGCAAAATGAAAAATCAGAATTCATGTAACCGACTCCAATTAATTGGAAAAATGTTAAAATGATGATGATGATGATGACAGCGAGATCAAAATCATTTCTACTTATTAAATGTCAAATTGTATAGTTTGAGCTAGTCACAAAGTTTGAGAAAGCAAAAAAATTAACTGAGTCTTTTTTATGATAATTTTACAACCATCCAATTTAAAATCTAAGAGATAAGAGTGATTGTGACTTCTTTATACAAAAAGTAAACGATATACTTTGAGATAATATTAAACTAAAAAACGTATAAATAACAAAATGCTACTCCAAATCTCCTCCATCCAATCCAAATCGGTATGGCAACATTAACCTACACACATTGTCTATGGGTATCATACATACAGGGTACCCATGATCTCCACCGCCTGCTCTGTATGGTTTTGTCCAAATGGGTCCTACAACAAACAAATGTGGTCATGATGGTATCCGCTAATCGTATTTGAGACAGGTTACCACAACATTCCCAAACTTTTATATGTGACAATTCCCAGCTATCTTACGTGAATTTATAGCTTGAGTTACAATATTAGACGTTAGCCTTGAGTATATGATCTTGTTGGATGGCTTGGAGCATTTGATTTTTTAAAAAAAATTTACAAATCATTTTGGGATGAAATTTAGGGCTTCTCTCCTCTCATAGAGATGCACTTAATAAAATTAAAAAAAAAAATATTTAAAATAATAAATGACCAAAATACCCATAAAACGTATAAATGAACTTTGGTTATTTTATTTTATCAAAAACATTTTTTTGGGTGTAGCCTTGGAAGGCCGCCGTTTTTATCTCAATATTTATTAGAAAAAATTAAAAATAAACATGTGTTTGACATGACATTATGACTAATGGCCAGGAATAGCAATTATACATATTTTATAGGCATTGCGCACAGCGAGACCATTTATCTTTTGTATTTGGAAGTCACAATCATTTTTTTCCCTTAAATTTCAAAATAGGTGATTGTAAGAGTGTCATTAAATAGACTCAAAGTTCTAAAAAAAAAATATATCTAACTTCGTGACTTACTCCAAGCTATCCAATTTGACATCTAATGGGTGAGAAAGATTATGACCTCTATGTACAAAAAATAAATGGTCTCTTTATAAACAATCCTTATTTTATATGTGGGTAGTGCTACAATTTTACACTAAAGACAATTATATTTCCTTTCTATTTTTGTAGATTGGATGAGAGATTACATACCATGTATACATTAAAAAAAAAATGCATCTAATATTTTTTATTTTTTTAAGGAAAAAACCTATATCAGGTTACAACGGTATACTATTAAAGTAAGGTGTACCATAAAATCCAGTGAAAAAGAGTGTTCTAAAGTTGGAAGACCTTCCAACTGATAATTTTGACCTAGAGATGTATGATATAAACCAAAAAAAAAAAAATCAAGTCCTAAAAATTGTTCATCCCGTAACAAATTTATCTGGGCCGCCTATTTTTAAGATTTTGAATTGTTTATAGATAGGCTCAATATGTACTATTTGAAATTTTAAATCACATAATTAAGATTCAACATGGGTTTTCAAGCCATCCAAAGATTCCCAATATTGAATCTACATCTTCCGTCAAAATTTAGAGATGTCTTACATATATGGTATACAGTGGGCACCTTATACAAACCTCACCTTTTTTCCTGATTCCCCAATACATGGAAATGTATTGGCTTTTCCCCCTTTTCTCATATTTGGTGCTTCAGCACCTGTCAATCCTGGGATGTAATGTTGCAATAGTACCTTATCTCCCATTGTACTTACATTGGTTTCGAGTGCCATTGAGATCTCCAGTGTCTTCTCCTAACTCTAAAATGATGACCAAGACACCCATATACTGGGTTTTACCATTGTTGAGAAAAGGTCGGATCGGGTCCGGATCCATTAGGATGTATGTTCATTGTTTACTATCTGTTTGTGATTTTTCATATGAAGACATTTTAAAGGCCACACATTAAAAGTTCAACAACTGCATGCAAAGAAGCTATGTACGAGGAAGGAAGGTTTCTTTTCTTTTGCAGTGTTTTGGGCACTTTAGTGGTTTGTTGATAAACAGGTTTATAAAAGCCCTCCACACTTGAATATTAGAGCAGACCAAAGTAGGCCATTTTTCACTCTCAATTTTGCAGAGGAAAAAAAGGTACCCTGTTCTCAAATTTTAGTCTACCAAACAGGGTTTAAATGTGTTATCATTTTGACATTTCTGTTTTTTCTTGTACACTTTTGAAATAGATCCCTCCAAAAGGAACAGAACATCATCATACACCACAAGTTGTCTATGGTATACTATAATTTGTGTACAGGCATACTGCTTGAGCATCCACCATTATTCCTGATGACGGACGGCTAAGACTACTGATGAAGGACAATCCGCCAGCTACAGTCAACACCACTAGTGAAATTGTATGCCCCGCCAAAAAATTATGGGTGTAAACACGCTAGGTCCCCATTAGACTGGGTACTAGTTGGATCCAGACCCAACCTTGACCCGGGTAAGTCCAGGTCCAGGTCACCAAACGTAGACAGGACCCACGAGATCCAATATCCAGGTCCAAGCCCAAACACGGGTTGGGTCAACCCAATTGCCACCTTATAAAACAATTTCTCCTTAGCTCGTCTTTCAAAAAGGTGAATATGTACCCTCCATGTTTCTTAAAAGAGAAACACTTCTAATAAAAGAAAAACATTTGGACTTAACCTTGGGGCAAATGAGCACTTACTAAGTATGTTTTTTTTTCTTCCTTTCTTGTATTTTTTTTTTTTGTGAGAATTTTTTTTTTTTTTTTTTTTTGACAAGATTACATAGGAATAGAACTTGAGACGTTAGGCTATGAAAACCCAGCCTTTACCATCTTGACCAAAGCCTGATTCCTTGAGAAAGTAAATTGTTATCCTCTGCTTTCTCCCAATAAGTTGAATCAGCTCACTAAAAGACGTGTTATTCTACATATAAAAAAAATATTATAATAAGACCATTTACTTTTGATACAAAAAGGTCACAACCTCTGTTGACCATTAGATATGAAATCAAGTGATTGGAGATGTATCATTGATATGCCACAAAGTCCCAAATATATTTTCTTGCATACTGCAACACACTTTTATGAATTAGATTTGACATCCAATGGCTGAGAGTGAATGTGACCTCCTTGTTCCAAAAGTAAACAGTATACAATCCCCTAAAATAATATGCCTGCCTAAAACTCATGTATTCACAAATCTATAGTGCTAAAAATTGTTCTAACATTTTCTTGTGAAACTTACCGAATTGTTTAACTCTTTATCAAGGAAATATACAGCCGACCATCCCCCACTGCTCAAAAGCCCACCAGCTTTACTCAGAGAACATGAAGCCACCCAATGCAATGAATCATACCACATTTCGATCTGATCACTTGTAGGCCAAATGACAAATTCATTGAAAAATAAAAGCATGTCCGAGGGATATGAATTACCCATGATACACATGCTGATAGTGGTAAGCTTGAAACACTAATGGAGCACGAATCCCCACCTCGAGGTGGTTTATATCAATGTTAACTAATAGGCAAAAACCATCAACATCATCTGTTCATCTTCATTACCACCACCACCATCATGATCATGACCAGTGTATTAATGCGCAGCAAGTTGAATGAGTCACCTGAGTCAACTCGCCTCAAGATCCTGGTGAGTCCCATGGAAACATCATGCATCATAATCGTGGTGTCCTAAGGTCACAAACGGCACCATATTGGAATGCCTGCAAAAAAAGGAACATTCCATCGATGACACGACAATTAGTTGTAACCCTTACCTATGCACATTCTACATGGACTTGTATTGCACAATCCACCCAGGTACACCCAGATAACGTCCTCCAAATTGGAAATGTTGATAAGTACATTACTTTGGGTCTCACTGTCAGATGAAAGAAGATTAGAATACAGTAAATATAACGAACCCAATAATTGTAAAGGTCTATCAAGAAAACTACCAATTTGAAGATTCAATATGTCTTACTGGTAACTCAAAGGATATAATAATAGATTAATGTGTTATGACACTGATCAGGGAAATGTGCAAATCATCAAAGAGAAATTAAAATGATCCATGAGGTATGTAAATGGAAAGTAGATGCACAAGAAGCTCTATATGGATGTCACCATGAATGGGTTTTTTGCACCTATCTAGAAAATGAGCCAATATGGTAAGTGTGAACCACACAGTTTGACGCATCCCTAAAGGAATATAGGCAAAATCAACCATGCTTTCTAGTAGATCCGGTGAAAAATAATAGCAAATCTATAAAGAAAATATGACAAAAAAGACCCAAATTCCAACTTTATTGTGAATCAATTAATTTCTTCACGCACACACTCACTCACACACACACACAAAGAGAGAGAGGGAGAGAGACCCAAAGAAAGTGAGATTTCCTTCAGTAGTATGTCGATATTCATACATGGTGGAACAGATTTTTCAGCATATATGGGGTGCTTTATGGTTCAGTTTAAAATCTAAAATTAGAAAAAAAAAATATATGTAAAATGATGTTCCTTTGTGAACCTAGTATATTTCTGATGTACATCATGATGCTTGCTAACCATGCATAGATGAAATAATTATTAGCAGACAAGATCGACAAGCTTTCTAACAATGCCTAGATGAAATATTATTAGCAGATAAGATCAACAAGAAATCACATGCATTCAAAGTACCCTTCAACTCTATTATTAGCAAACAAGATCAACAAGAAATCACATGCATTCAAAGTACCCTTCAACTCACCTTCGGAATGAGAGGGCTTGGCCCACTCTAGTATTTTTTGCATATAAAGATTTATCGCACAGTAGTTGGAATTGCATCTTACAAATCACAGGTTCATAAGGGCACGAGAGACCAGGGTCCTTTCCATGTTAGCACCATCATGAATTTGTTATACAGACTAGATATGGCAACTCAACTGATGATCCCTGCTCTATCATATGTTGGCTCTAATATAGTCTGAGCACTAAGCAGAGACCGACTGCTCAGTCTAATGAAGAGCTAGCATATCAAGCCACAGCCAACACTATTTCCGATCCTTCAGTTACAATATCTTCATGGTCTTGGTGCTTCAGTTTGAGATCTTTTACTTCATAAAGGTGTGTCAATCCAGTAGTCATTTGATTAAGGGCCTGTTCAGACGTTTGCATTAGACCCCAACGAGGTGAAATTATGTGTTGATCCTTATCAGTTGCTTAGTGCTGCGCACATATCCACAGTAAAACTACAGATTCATGCAGAGAAACAGCACATACTGTGGACAAAGGGTACATGTTTAAAAAGTTCCTTTTCTACTATAGGCATTTAAAACCCCCGCATGATGGGCTTGAAGGCACCATTAATTTTTCCTCCTAATATTAATTCGACAGAGATATCTTTTCCTTCCCCAATATTCAACGTGCATTAGTTTTTCCTCCTAATCTCAATTCGACAGAAATATATTTTTCCTCCCCAATATACAACATGCACATAAATTTACGTTAAAGAAAAAAAAAGGAACTCTTAAGCCACTCGATGCTCACATGACACACCACAAGTGTCCCAAAGTCTAGGACAACCATAAGGAGTTTGTGTAGCCGCATTACAGCAGCCAGAGCCTTCACATATAGGAAAATACCAGGTGAGATGCACAAAAGGCATCAAAACTTATGGAGCCACAATATAGCTCCCATGGCAACCCATACAATTTGAACCAATCTATTCATAAAATAACAGCAACTGCGTTTAACTAAATCCACCCTTGATCAAATATGCGACTTCCTTAGTCAACCATGAACCAACATAAAATGCTTACAAATCAATTTTTTGCGAACAAAATTAATAAAAATGAAAGGCTGACAGACCTTGGGAACCAGCCGCATGGATCTTCGTCGAGGTGTAACTGCCATGTTCTGAGTGGAAACTCTTGCCAGATTCTTCAGACTTCTTAAATTCTTCGGAGTTGTAGCATCATCCTGACTATTATGATGGTCCATGATATCAGTCTGCTTAGTATGCAGCTCTTCTAAGCATTCTGAACTGCGAGCTCTTTTACTAGCCTTATCTGAAGAGGTGTGCAAGTGTGCATTTCTGAGAACAAAAAATAATTAAAAGATCATTAAATGAAGCTTGAAAGAAAACAAACATGAGAATGACTTTGCGAATTAGAATGTACCCTGAGATCTGATTCTCACCAAATGGAGCCTTGATAACCTAGAAACAGGAAGCATAAAATTTAGCCGTTTATTATAAGCATCAACACAATTATGATATTATCCACCTAATAAAATCAGCCTCACGCACTCATGAAAAATCTACTACATAAATCATATCATCCAGTAACAAAAATGTTGAAGCAGGCATTTCACCTTAAACATGATGCAATTGAAAGAATAGTAATTTGATACAAAATATAAGACCATTTAACATTAAAAGTAAAGATAAGAAGAAACAAATGTCTCTGCGCAAAGCAACTCGCCACAAAAAGAGAAAACATTTCCTAATTACATTTGTCCACAGCACAGAAGAGACAATATGTTCTTAGTGGAAAAAAAAAAGAAAAAGAAGTTAATTTTTGCAGGTATGTTACATTTATGTTGTGCACAAGTAGGTTAACCAGGGGTCAACCTTGGATGTTGTGTTGAGGGCCTCAACACCTTAACCGCCAAGCAGAGCCCAAACCCAAGAGCTTCTTTTTTTTTTTTTCTTGTGCCCTCCCGTGCCCTCCCCCCATCTATCCCAACAAATTATTATGCACTCGAGGAATTGAACACTTGACCTCGCACACCCCAAGTAACAACCATGCAACCAGATCAAAGACCAAGATAGACAGTTTTATGACAATGCAAATAACATCATGTCCATGTCATCAATAGCAGTGAGCATAAACAGCCAATAATCAAAGAGAATGGAGTCAGAAGAGAATCAACGTACAGTGTTTCTTCACTTCACAAGTCAGAATTCTTCTTTTTCCCCTCAATTGATGACAACATGGGATCATCTATCCATTTGAATCCCCAAAAGACAAACCTCGGCACTCCAGGATCCCTAACCAAGAACAAAGATTGCTCAACTCACCCCTTAGCCAACAAATAAGCAAATTAATTGCCTCCTTATTGCAATGAATGATAACTACTAAAAAAATAATAACGCTAAGTGCCCCCTAGTTCCGATAGGATAGTCTTTATCTAGTTTCAACTCTCAGGTTTGCCACACCACATCCATCAGTCACAAAAGTTCCCCCCAACAGAAACAAACACAATACCACATCCTTGGAGCTCCCATTCCCAACAGATGCATGATGTGGAAATCTAGAGCTGAATCAGTGAAGCATCAATTTCTACATTGCAACACAGCCATCAAGGTATGATACAATGTAGTAAATGAACTATGCTTGAAACCATTGAAGACTTATTCTCGAAATAATATACCCCGATGCTACCAATGCTAAGGATCATTCTATGAGAAGTAACTAAAGATGCACTCTGTGGTCCATGTGGGTAGAAGGAAGGGCAGGATGTTAGAATCAGAGGAACATTTAGTTGAATGATGAATGATAAGATAAAGGCAACCGCGATTTAGGGGTCAAGGGCAAGAAGCAAAGTTCTGGGGTCACTTTATTCCAAAGTTTGACAAACCCAAGATTACTTTTGCCAGTTCAAGTTAAGCTTTATAAACATGAAATGCATGACTACTACATCTCCATATCCTTTTCAAGGGAATAAACTACTTCAAGAACATGATAAATCATCTTTTGTAACCTATTTAAGGTCCCTTACCAGCCAACCCTCCAGGAACATCATAGGACCTATCATTCCAAATTAATTTTTCATGATCAATCCTGTGCTCCACCATGAACATTCTTTCAAGATGTTCCATATCATAACCAATCATTCTAGCCAACCTCAAGTCCCTCCACAAAACCACAGGGATTCTACGAAAGGCCTAAGGCCCAAACCCACCCCAAGAAACATTTAAAGCCTGTATAAGAAATCTTAAATAAAGACAAGACTAGGTGCCTCCACAGAGACTTCTAATTACTTCAGAGATTATTGGTTTTGGATTTGGGTGTCTAAAGTTTGGAGAACCAAAAACCTCATTTAAAAATAAAAAAATATTAGTATTAACTATATTCCCATTTTTTATTTTTCATTTTCTCTTAACTGTTGTAATGTACTTCAACTTATAATTTAATACATGTGACACCTTTCTGACCTTATAGGATAAAGTGACATAAACTGTCATTCAATCTAGAGAGGACCAAAGCAGGCTGCATTCACCTTTAGTCTAGCTTTTTAAATTCTTGTTTTAAGATAAATAATTTTGAAATGCATTTCAACATAGCATCACATACCACAGCATAGAAAGAAGTAGCATATCATCATAGTGCAGCACTTACTTTCAAAAGTCAAAACAGTTAGAAGAATCCATTATAGTTTTCAATCTGATTATGGATTTATCAAGCCTAAAAAAGAATACAAAATAATTTTCAGTTCAGACATTACTCTCATTGCCTATAAAGAGTCTGTCAAAGTTACTCTCAGACCTTGCAACGGTCAGAACCTCTACCATTAGAAGCATCCTCTAAGTAAATAAATTAAAATAGAAAGTAAAAGCAAAAGAAATCATACATCTTCTTCAGGTAATGCACGTGATTCACTATATGCATCATTGGTGGCACCGGATGATATACCCTTGGGCTGATCATTTGCTGCTTCTATCATCTCAGGCACTTTATGTTCACTTAACAAGGAATCTTTGGCTTCTATTCTTTCAGGCGCTTTGTTTCCAAATGCCAAGGAATTACCGTGCACACTGTTTGGCTTTTCAAGATTACAGGTGCTGGATACGATTGATTTTTCATGAAGACCAACTGATAAGCGTTTGTTTGAATTCTCTCGATCAATGCCAGAAGTAATGGGAAGTTGACACTCAAGGAAATTCACACCTGAGTCTCTAACAGAATCTAAGTTTTGGTCATTCCCAGGTACATAAGCATTATTTACTGTTGTCTCAAAAGAAGCCACTGAATTCGGGGGCTTATCTTTGCCCTTGCTTGAAACAATAGAAGACATGAAAACCTTTTCTCTATCACACTCAGGTACATAGGGCATTGGTTTCATTTGATTGTACTCCAAAGCCCCAAATGTTCCTAAAGAAGTTCCAATTGATGTTAATGAGGAGCTATCAATAATTCTCTGGTCTAATGTTTTCCCATCACCACTGCCATGGCAAATGTCTTCTAAATTTCTTGGCTCATGAGCCCAGGGCTTGTGGTAGTGCATTTGCTGATAAATGTGCACTTCATCCTTTAACTTCTTAATCCAGTCTGCTGGGCTTGAGTTAAGATCAACATAGAGGTTGATTCCCTCCTCAGACCTGACAAAGAATTGGAAAGACCCTTGACACCCTTCAACAGATTGATCATCTGAAAAAACAAAACATCAGCACTCAGTCCCAAAATACTCTCTAGATGGGGTCAATTGTTTTTAAATGAAAATCGACAAATTTGAGAAAATGTTATAGCGTTTCCTAGGTAGTAATTTAATATACTTACGTACACCTTGTGTGCTTTCATCATCCTTTTTACCCGCAGATTGATTTCCTCCATAAATGTCTTGGGTATCACGTGCTTGGACAGGTTGTATACCTTCGTGTATACAGGCATTACGACTGAAGACTGAACCAGAGCCACCTCTTGTGTTGGTATCAGCAAAATTTGCAGGAGCCAAGTTTTGGGTGACCCTTTCTATCTGCAAGAGAAAAGTAAATATATTGATGTATACTAAGAACTAGTTGTTAACATGCTTCTTGATTAACTACAAATAATAGAGAAAACACAGAAGCACAAACCATGGAACAGGAACAATAAATGTGGAAAAAACAAATGTAACGATAAAAGCATATATCCTAATGGAAAAAACAAGTGCAACACTAAAAGCATATATCCTAATGGGCACGTGCGCACACACACATTCTTATGTGCATGCATATGAAGTCATACCTGATTAGAAGGTTCAAGACACTCCCTTAAGGCACTTCTCTCAAACTGGTTTACAAAACCATTATTCCTCTCATTGTGATGCTCTTTGCCTTGGACGGAGTTAAAGGAACCAGATATACTAGGATCCATAGCCTCAAGTCTTTTTTTGGATGTCCCTACAGTATCTTGCACATTTCCATTGCAATCAACTGCAAGAAGAAAATAATGAGCAGTTCAGGATCATGTGTAGTGTGAATATGTGCAAAATAAACCCCTAATCATATGTACCTTCGTTGTTTTCTTTAAAGAAGCTCAATGGAGCTTTAACACTCAACTCCTGTGTTTTAATAGGTCTCTCTTCTATTGGATTCTTTGTACATGAATCTCCTCGCACATCGTGCTCCTTTTCCTGTGACATTAATGTATAACATACAACTTTTTCTCGGATTACAGAACTAAAAGGTTTACATCAAAATTGAAGAAGTAATAATCTTATAAATTACATATACAATGGGAAACATAGATAACATGATACTTTGAACCCAAAGCTATACAGAAAAAAGTTAAAAACCTAGGCAAGCCAAGCTAGTACAAAACTAGCCAAAAACAGGAAAAAGTATGCCATCCTTCATGTGGCCCTCCATTCTCTCATGCCCTATTTTACCTAATGTACATATAACCAAGGCACAAACAACACCACATGCATTCTATTTTGAGTCCAGGGAATAAAATCACAAATTAGAGCTCGTGGCACTTTATCCTAAGCTGAAGCTCAATTAAAAGAATACAGGCTTTGCCATAATTGATAGTAAGGTCCCATAACAGCTCACCCTAAAACTTTTAACTTCTTAGAAACAAATAAATAATAAAACTTACAATAAAATGAATAACTAATAAATCTAATCAACAATATCAGCATTACCTTGAAAAGTGAAATAAGTGACTCTGCCATATAAGACTGTGATCTATTTGCAGGAAGACCATGCTTCTTGCATAGACTTTGAAGTTCTCTGCGAGAGAGGTTGAGATAGAAATCTTCTTCGTCGGGACTCCCCATCAGCTATCAACAAACCAACCCAACAGCTACTGCAAGAAAAATCAAACCCAATAAAAAAAGAACTCTAAATTTTAAAGAATGGTAAGCATATTCCAAATTTAGCATTTCCAATTTTAGAAAATTTAAAAAGAGAATATTCCAATTTAAACATTTCTACAATTAGTACAAGCCCTAACACCCCTTTTCCAAACAGTTTAAATATTCATAGCTCGGACCCACCAAAAAGGGACAATTGATTAAGAGTTAAAGTGTCATGGGATTGATAACCCTGCAACCATAGAACATATGCTTTGCAATATTTGCAAGATTTGCAAGTTATAGAATGAATAAATTTGCACCAAAAAGGGAGTTATTAGCCATCTGAACTGCGCCCATCTTTCTCTATAAAATTTTATAAGACGAAACTGAGGGGGCTCCCTCAAATATAACACATGCATCAAAAGAGGAGATATATAGAGAGGAGTGATATAGATATTCTCCAAAATGGGTGCCCTGAGAGAGAGAAAGAGCACAAAAACCAAAAACATTAAAACGGCTATCCATCAATACACAGAAGCAACACCATTCAAGCAAATAAACAACATGGGGAAGAATAGCTGAGATGGGTACCACTCCAAATCGGAAAACTCTTAAAGTAATTGAGGAAAACAATAGCAGAGATGGTTTGCTAAGAGATTGGTGATGGGGAGTCTGCGAAAAAGAATGGGATGCAGAGTTGAAATAACAAAGAAATATTCAATAGAGAGAGAGAGAGAGATAGGGAGAGAGAGATTACCTGAGGATGGGTGGAACCTGAAGATAATTATTTGAGAGAGAGAAAGAGAGAGCGCGCACCAGAAGGATGATAGTTGTTTGTTCCACTTGCATAAAGTGACAGATTGAAACCCCAATTTGATTCTCACAAAGAAGCGCCAAATGAAGTTCAGACCATGGCTTCTTGTTTGTCCCCAAAGAATTTAATGAATGAAGAGAGAGAAAGAGAGATAGAGATGTCCGTGCGTCCAAGAGAAGCGGGAAATAACGCGTGAGCTGGTGTCCAGAGAGAGAGAGAGAGAGAGAGGCGCCAAAAGAGAGTCGAGGAGAGAGAAGTTAGAGAGAGAGAGGTGTGTCCGTGCATCCAAGAGTAGCGGCAAACATGGTGTGATCTGGTTGTCCGAAAACTGAAAAATACAAGAGAGATAGTGAAGGAAGTGTACTTTACACTCTGTAGAAATAAATACTTCATCCACGAACCGTCGATATCAAGGAAGCACGGTTAGGAAGAAACTAGATTAGCGGTGGTCAGAGCAGAGAAAATAGCTATTTTTTATTGAGATAAAATAGCGGTGGTAAATTAGAAAATCAGCAGTGTGGAAAATAGCTGAAAGAGAGAAAGATGGGTGAAATTGAGAGAAATTTACTCTAATATTTCCTAAATTACAAGTATTTAAATTTTTAAAATATTCGCTATTATTTCATACACATTTTTCTACTTTTTTTATTTTTCCAAACTACCCTTGCCTGAAGGCCTGAAGTTCTTGAAACCTCAACTTGAACTTAAAATAATAGATATTTGGGGAAAATATCCCCAAACTTCCCCTTAAATTTACACCAAACTTTAGTGACTTATCCAAATATGCTTCCCCAATAATGATAACAACTAATTTCATAATAGCTTTTTTTAAGGGAAAAGTTTATATAGATCTTACGCTTTAAACGATCAAATTAGAGACTACCTCAAAAATTTTACTAGAAAGAGGTTGTTTTGATGTTCAAATATACTCAAATTGATCATCTCGATATCAAGATGCATGGACACGAGAAAAAAATTGGATTTCAAGTATTGGAAATAGTGCGTCTTGTAACACATTTTAGGACCGTCAATTTTCAAGATTTTCAAGTGTTTATAGATCTGCTCGATATATAGTATTTTATAAACTTTAAATTTTATAATTAAAGATGAAAATATATTTTAAGGCTACCACAAAAATTTCTAATATTAAAACTATATTTTTCGATACTATTTGAAGGTGGGCTCTAATTTGTTTAGAACCCCATCTCTATACAAATCGCATCTTTTTTTTAATATTGCCAAACAATAATAAAGAATGACCATTTTACCTTCCACTTATTAGTGATTTTAAGTTAGTGAGGTTTATATAAGGTGTACCTCTAAATGTTTGAAACGTGTAGAAGTTCATATTAAAAATCTGAAACGTTAGTCATAAATAGTTTTAAAAACCATAAAAGCTTGCCAAGAATACGAAAGTTCTAAAGAGTGGTGTCCTATTTTTGTAGAAAAGCTGACAAATTTGAAGAGCATAAAAGTTCATAAATAACATTGCAATTGTTTGTAAAAAAAAAAAAACTTTACCTTACAACCAGCATCCTACTTCGGTAGAAAATATATCTTTATCGTTTTAGAATATTTTATAACTCGTAATAAAATGTGAAGAAATTGGTCATAAATACAAGCTTTTTTTTCATAAATTCATAAATATCATAAATACAAGCTTTTTTTTCTTTTTTTTTGGTAATTAAGTGGGGAAGACAGGCCCTACCCGTTTTTTCAATAGATTAGAGAATTTACATTTTAAAAGTGTTAATTGAGGGTATCAGCGATAGGAATAGATATCACAATGTGGTAACTAGGTGTTGGGATGTTACTGCCACGACCCCAACTTTTTTCCTCAATAAAAGTTCTTAGGCAGTGAAAATATCATCTTCGTTAGTTATACTAATCAAGATAATTTTAAATAAAGTGCAACAACATGGCAAAAAAACACAAACTACAAAACCTACAAAATTTTCAAAGTAAAATTATAAATTTGTTATCAAATCCAAAAAGAGATTCATTGTTATGCCATTCAGTGCAACTACATCAGTCTATGAAATGTGATGACTTTAAACTTTCTCTTAACCTGTCTCATGCCAAGATAAAAGATTGTGTTAGGTAAGCAGCGAACATAAAATTTTGCCAAAACTTATCATGAATATTGAAAGGTACAAGGATTTGTATAGCTGCCTCCAATTAGTTAGGAAAAGGTTTTGACGGCGATGATGAAATGCAACTACATGAAGAAAAAAGGTAATAATGAGAGCTCTTTTCATTCAATATATGGTTCTTCCAAACCTACATGATATTAGCAATAAAAGTGTCTTTCAAGTTCTTTTTATTTTTTAGTTGCACTGATTTGATTTGGTCTAAGTTATTTCTTTCTAAAAAAAAATAGTGGCATATTAGCACATCCGTTTTCTTGCTTGTCTTCGACTCAAAAGCTAAAAAGCAACAGCTAGTACGGCGCGTTAGCGCTTCCGTTTTCTTGCTTGTCTCACGTCTACGTGCTTTGTTACGCTATGTTTTCTTCACAACGCTAGCACACTGTAGTTTAAAAAGTAATAATAGATTTACAATAATGCAGATGAAAGTAAGTCCTTTATACTCACATGAACTATGTTTACTGTGAATAAAATGCAAGAATCATGGAGAAATACCAATAACTCAAATACTAATGCTCTTCAAACTACAACCTACGTATTGTTGTAAAATATTGAAAACCAGAAGAAAACATAAAAACAAAGAACATAATTCACCACGCAATGATATATAAAAACATATATAAAATATGATACATAAAAACAAAAAACATAATTCACCCAATACTCTATTCACATATATAAATATTTTTTTGCTAAAATTCAGCACATCCGATAAAAACATCAGAAAATTTTGGAAAATCATAAAGCATCATATATTTATCGTCGTCATCACTTGTGCTCCAACTAAGGTTTAAGCTTTCATTCTCACCTAACACATTAAAAAAAAAAAACACTAACGATTTCAAAAAATTGGTAGGGCTCATCATCCCCACTGAGTTACCCAAAAAAAGAGCCACTCTTTATCATAATATGAGGGAGGAAAGTCAAAGTAAGTTTTTAATCTCACATTTTCTCATTTAGAATAGAAAAAATACATATAGCCCCAATCTTAGAAATTCCTACATAGAGAAACACCTCCCCCCTGGGGGATTTCATTCACACCATATACCTTGATACTATTTTCCTTTGTTTTGCCCTAAAATGCCCGACTTAGTCGAACACAAAAGTTTGTAGTGTGGTTTGACATTGGGGAAAGTTTTTAAAGTCGAGATTAATCATGCTAATTGCTGTTGTTGATGTTGTTGTTTTCTTGGTTATCACCACATGCTTTTTCAAATTGCCCCTCAAACTTTTTTGAACATGCAGGCTCCCATGTCTGACACACCATGCAGGATCCCATGTCTAACACACCGGGAGCTCCTTCTCAGTTTTAAAGTCGAAGGAGCTCTCCTCTCGGTTTCCATTGATGGCAATGCTACTGGTAATAACCAATGGCTTCGTTTCCCTCCTGCATTCACAAGTGCTTCTCGTATTTCTTTACTACTTTATCCCATGGAGCTTACTCTAACACATCCAATACTCTGCGATCCTCCTTATTTAGAGCATTCAATTGTATTCCATTTACAGTAATTAAAAATTTCATGAACTGTAAAATATAATGCAAAAAACAAATTGTCACGAGGTGATTTCCAAGCACATTGTGATGAAGAAACTTATTAGAATTTTGAAATAAAAACCTAAAACAAATGGAATGTTATTAAGGATTGTCACCGCACAGGAACATGGTTCCAATGCCATCACATTGCCTACCAGTCCAGCAATAGGTAGGATTGTTCTCGCAGAGTTATCCTAGGAAACAAAATAGTGGTCAAAAGACAAGGAATGAAAAGCATAGTTATAAAGACCAGATCAGGCCATCCAGTCCGACTAGTCAGACCAACACCTTGGCCGGTCCTATCTAGGATAAAAACTGTGTTTAGTAAGAAAACCAATCAGAGCAATATTTGATCAGTCATGGTTGGTTGGACCAATCGGTTTTGACCGATTGTAAATGTTAACAAAGTTGAAAAGTTTTGTAATATATTTTATATTTTAAAATAATATTTATATTTTTTTATTTTTGGAATAGTCCAACCTATCCTCGAACCAATTTTGCCTGGATTAGAACGCTCATTGGTTCGTTCACCGGTCCGATCATGATAGAATAGATAAAAATGGCTTATATTTCTGCATCACTTTTTGTGTTTTTCTTTTGTGTGAAGAAGCGCAAGCTTTGTGATGGAAATCCTTTTTTTATTTTTTTTGTGAAATTTATATTGGGAAGCTAGAACTCTCCTTACAAGAAACCCCTAGGCATTTATTCACAACATAAAACCCTCATTTTTATATTTTTCCTACAAATAAAACCCCCCTTAGTAGTGTTTTGAAAAAAAATTAGATAAGTAATGTCATTTCTTTTAAAGCATATATATTTCATCAAAATAGATAAAATATAATTAAAATTGTTAAAGCACCTCAAAAAATTCAATGATGCGCCTAAATCAATAATTTGACAACAAAGTGGTTACCTTTTAAAAATCCTCTCATTTAAGTATCTCCTCAACAATTTTATTAAAAATGCCCAAATTAGCCTTATTTAAGGTTTATAATCCTAAAAAAGTTAAAGGCCATTTTAGTAATTTGAACAACTTATATTGCTTGAGTCAAACAAACAAAATACCATGCTTGTTCTTGGTTCTAAACCTGAATTATCCTTTTTCTATTATAAAATCTTTGTTTGGGTTTGGAAAGCAAAAAAAAGTGGGTCATCTCAAAACTCGCTGAAAATTGCAATTTTAGAGTTGGAAAATCTTTAAATTGATCATCTCGGATTTGATTATGATGGTCGTGAAAAAAGATTCAGATTTTAAGCCCTAAAAATAGTATATATTGTTAGAAATTATTTAGACCGCCCATGTCGCCTTAAAAATAAATATGCATCTGTAAGATCTGTATTATTTTTTTAATTTCAAATTTCATAATCGGTGTTAGAAATTGATTTTAGAGCCATTGTAGATATTTTTTATGCCCAGAGTGCTTTCAAGATGAGGATTCAAGGTGAGGCTTTAGCTTGTTTTCATAAAGCGCATGCCTTATAGAAACAACATTGTTTTAGTCAGTGATTAAAAAAACAGCGAGTCGAACCGGACTCGCCCAGTTTGACTCGAGAATCGACAGGAGATGTATCGAATCGCTCAAAAAACCGGGAATCGCCCAGTTCTAGAGAGAACCGGGCGATTCTGTACAGTGACTCGCCAATTCACTGTA